TATTATTATTATTATTATTATTATTATTATTATTATTATTATTATTATTATTATTATTATTATTATTATTATTATTATTATTATTATTATTATTATTATTATTATCACCTCTACGAGGCAGCATTTTTGTTCTTATTCTTTCCAGAAATGGATTTAAGTTACCATTGTGAAGTTACCACACCCACACCTCCTCTAATAACTCTAGAATCAAGTTATTAGAAGGGCCTCAGTATCTTTTTAATGCATATCTTTTAATGCATATCATTGCTGATTCTCATCTATCTTTTCACTTGCGAGACACAATAAGACACAAATAGAAATAATGGAAGATCAGGATCTTTGCACAGACCTGTCAGGTATATTTACTGGGTCTATCTGCATTAAATTCAGTGATTAATGCAGTAATTATTAAGTTGCCTTATTTATTATTACTGATGTTTCTGTAATATGTAATGAGAACCAGTTTGGTCTAGTGATTAATGCATTACACTAGAAAAATCAGGCGATAATTCTAGTCCTGATCTAGACATGAAAGCTGGCTGGGTAACTTTGGGTCTGTCACTTTCTCTTAGCCCAACCCACCTCATGGGGTTCTTGTTGTGGGTAAAATAGGAGTATGAAGGAGGATTACAGTATGTATGTTCGCTGCCTTAAGTTACTTATAAAGTAATAAAGGTGAGATGAAAAACTAATAAATAAATATATAGAACTTCATCATTAGGCATTTCTGGGACTACTAGATAATGGTCAGCATGTAAAGCCCATCATGAAGACAGAAACCTAGACAGCAGAAATTAAAAAAACAACAGAAACATCTGGGAAGAATTAGATTTTAAATCCTAACTGTATCTGACTAACTATAATAACATTAAATACTTCCAGTATAAAAATATGTTACTGTACTCTTCTTTTCTGCTATTCCAAGTCTCTTGCTTTTGTGTGTGTGTGTGTGTGTGTGTGTGTGTGTGTATCCATGTGATATTTCAAGAATTGTTACTGGTCCCTTCATGTATGACAAGACTTTTGACTTTCTTGTCCTCTAGATGGCAATATTGACTAATGCTTTCTTTGGGACACACAACTCCATACAAAATATATCCTAAATAAAATTGTAGATTATTCTGTTGAATATAAAACTGACAGGACTGATATTTTAAAACTTGAAACTGACAGGCTGCTATTTTAATGAGGTCTGCCAGAGCCAAGGTTAACCAAAACCTTCGTTCATTACAAAATGTTAAGACCTCAATTCACAGCAAGTGAAGGAAGAACATTACGCCTAGTGATATCTTGACAGGGTTCTAGAAATTGCATGGTGAATGTGTTTTGCAAACTCATGCCTTTTGAATTTTTCAAAGTATAACTTTAAACAAATTTCATTTCATTCATTTTTAAAGAAAATAATAACACAGCACGGGTAATTCTTTGTCCGAACAAATGAGTATTGCATTATAGCGGTTACAATAACATTAAACAAACATTTATTCTAAAGGGGCTTTTGTTATTAAAAAAAACTGAAATGAAATACAAACAACACAATATACATTTTAAATTGATAGTAAGCTTGTACTTTAGTTAAGAGCTCTGATGTGGAAGCAATTAGCTCACTAATATCAATTAGTGTATTAACACAGTAAGAGCTATATTTGACCAGATCAATGCAGACTGAGTCAATTTTTCTGTTCCTACATTAGCCATCCAAATACCTATGAGAAAGATTTGATAATCAGGATATCATTGCAGGAATGGTCTTACGCTAAGAACTCTTGCTTATACTTAGTTCTTCTTGGGTATGCATGTGTACATACATACATACATCTCAACGTTTCAAAATCACAGAGCTCCCAATAAATTCCATTTAAAGGAACAAAGCTCTTAGCTATGTTTACACTCCTGGAATTGTCTCTGCAACTAGTATGCAGATAGCCTGGCAATGTTCTGCTTCTACGAGACAGAAAACTATGGTTAGACCTGGAATTAATGTGTTTGTTTTGTTTGGATGCTGCTCATTTGGCATGTACATTTTAAAAATATTTTAAGATTATTTTCTTTAAAAAAATTGTAAACTGACTAAACAAATCATATGACAGTATAAGGGTTCCTTCATTAATGACTACTCGATCAGTGACATTTGAACTTGCAACAGCGCTGAACAAGTGGTACCCTGTTTCACTGAAAGTAAGGCCTATCCCGAAAATAAGCCCTAGCTTGATTTTTGGGGGTGGGCCTAATATAAGCCCTACCCCAAAAATAAGCCCTAGTTTTGGGGTGAGGCGCACACTTAAAAATCAAGCTAGGGCGGGGGTGTGGGTGTGGATCTGCCCCATGAACCCGCACCCACTTATCTTTCAGCCAGGCATTTCTCAGTCAGGCCTGCATTTCTGGAAAGGCCACTGCAGCCGAGAACCGAGCTATGGATTGAATCCATAACTCGGGACTTGGCTGCAGAGGCCTTTCAGAAAGGCCTGATTACGAAATGTAGGCCAGAATGCAGCTGCAGAATGAAGCTGCTCCTTCGGCTACAGAAGAAGTGGACTGGCTGGGCAGGGCTGTCAGTGCAGGCGGTGAGTAAAAAAGACACCACCACCCCGAAAATAAGACCTGGTGCCTCTTTTGGAGGCAACAAAAAACACCCCGGTCTTATTTTCAGGGAAACACGGTACTTATGATGGGTCCTTGGCGTTCTGGTTGACACAGAGTCCCTGCAGTCATATTTGCCAGGTTTCAATAAGAAAAATTAATGGGAAATTCAGCAGGAGATGGCAAATGGCAACCACATGGCATCATCGCTTAATAATGTGCAGTGGTTTGCTTAATGATGGAAACAGGGAGTACTGGAGTTATTGTTGCTAAGTAGCATGATCACGTGATGTTGTGCTTAACAATTCCGGTTCCAATCGCTATTGTTAACTGAGGACTACTTGTATATAAATAAATAAATCAGAACTGCACGTGCTTAATAATGCAATGAACATGTTAAGTCTGTGCAATTTTTATACAATCACGGAAAATTCTAGACTATGAAATATTTTTCGCCGAGCCCTGAAGGCCCATCTATTCC